CTCTTTCTGATTCCTTGTTTCTTCCTCTTGTATGCCCTCTGGAAGCTTACTATACACTAGTAGGAGTATGTGATACCCTAGCTTGAGAAATGCTGGTTTAGAATAATGTGTGCTGTGGAGGTGGGGGGCGCAGGAACTAGTCAGGAGAGAGTAGTTCTTTTTTGCTCTACTCAGCAGGAGTATTCTGAGAGATGGTAATCAGCTGGGTTTGATGCATCTCCTTCCTCTAGTCAGTAAAAAAAAAAAAAAAAAAGCCCTAGAAATAGTAGCTTGCAGTTTTAAGGAACCTGTTTTCTTCTTCCAGTAAGAACACTAGAGCCATGATTCATAGCTCTCATCTCCAGATACTAGACTTAGCCTTAACTTTCATGTTTGTGTGAATCAGCTTTCTGCATTGCCTCTCCTTCCCATCATTAGCCAACAAATTAGTTAATCAGTTATGTCTTTGTGCAGCCATGCTGGCTTTCAAATCAGCTAAGCCCTCTGAGGGAATATCTTACAGGTCAGGAAGCTCTTCTGTTTTCTTATTTTTCTGTATAGCTAGAAGAGAGCTTGGCCATGGTAAGCAATGTTGAATGAACCCTGCAGCCCCCACAGTTCTGCTAGGATAGTGTCTCAAATGCCTTTTGTTTATTCTGCGTGGAACTATGTGCAACACTGTCAGAGTTGGATACTCTAAGGGTGACTTCTTCTCCTTCAGGAGATTGCTCCTGAGGAAAAAAAGCATAATTTATTATGCATATTTGTTCTTTTGTTCGTTTTATCCACCTTCTGAGAGCTTGACTGTAGGCTGGTAGCAGTACTTAATGCCACCAGTCAAAACGGGTTATGGTTCAAGAGGAAAAAGAATCTTATTATATTGATCCAGTGTCCTTTTGGATCACCTGACCAATGCTTAGGCAGGAAGAAAGGGAAATATCTTTTTGAAGGAAAGATCTCCTTAAACTGACCCTTGGTTTAAAAGACATCCTGTTTGTAGATGGAGAAACCCAGAGAAAGGTCTCAAAGATATTCCAGTCAATTTGTACTGTGAAGGATGGATTGAGTTATCCTAACATGAGTCTGACAACATTAATGTAACACTTTAATGAACAGATACTCAGTATGATCTTGTAGTAACAAATATCCACAGCTTACAAGAGGATATATCCTATTAATAATGTTTAAATCATGACCTTTTAGGTAATTCTTCTGAAAAGCCTTATCATTGTTCTATTTTGTGTTGGTTTTTTTTTCTTTTCATTCTAATATTGCAGCTTTTTACTTGCTTTTCTGTAAATGGTACAAAAACCTCTTCAGCATTGTAATCTCTATTTTATTAAACCAGTATCTTCATGAAGGGTGATTTTAATATGTTCTTATGGTTATGATTAGTTAATTTAGTTAAGCTAGCAAACAGTTGCCTTGTTGAAACATTTTTAGTGGTAGTTTGATGCTCTTGTCTCCTATAAATCTAGCAAATGTTACTTTTTAAGTGCAGATGCTGCTGGTAGTGGTTTTCTTTTCACTGGGGAGGTATTACTAACTTAATTTGTGATCTGCATATGTAAAGTTTAGAAGCAAGTGGGAAGGAGGCATTCCTAATTAGCAAAAGATTGCTAACACACATTGTACCTCACTTTTTTTATATAACAACGTGTAAATTTGAACAGATTGGGACTCTAATGCTATTTTTTTCTTATCTACTTCAGCATTTTTGTGTAACACACAATAAGGTAGAGGGAAGTTTTACCAGGGTTTCCTCATGAAGGCTTTTAAACTAGGCCTCCTTATAAACTGATTTTTGGAGCAAACTGTCTAACATGTTCCAAAAATAGCTGCTTGTGAGACAAAATGCTTTAGCAGTTTACTAATATCACCCATTCCAATTTTAAAGTTGGATGCTGAAACTTGAAGTGACCTTTACACTATCCACCAAAAAGTGTCAAGGATTAAAGGAGTTTTTTGTTACTGCTTATACCATTTGTATAATTGCCAAGTCATACCAACCTTCTGGCAATTTACTGGCCATTTGCATTGCTATTTACTTAGAAAACAGTATACTTACTAGTAAATCTGTGTGCTTGGTGACGTAAAGTAACTTGTCCTCCTTTTTCTACAGATGCAAGTAGTAACAGAGTTAAAAACTGAACAAGATCCAAACTGTTCTGAAACTGATGCAGAGGGAGTGAGTCCTGCCCCTGTAGAATCTCAGACGCCAATGGATGCAGACAAACAGGCCATTTACAGGTAGTAGTATGGACTTTGGTTATGCCTTTGAATGGTAAAAAGTATAGGAGTCAGGGATTTTTTTTTGTCTTCTAACTAATGGGCAGGCTAATGCTGTGCAAGCTTTCAAATGCCAATTTCTGTAGTTTGCAAGGAAATGCTGAATAAATTCAATTAAATTGGTTACACTATCAGATTGTTTAGACAAAGTTTTCCTACCTACAGATTCCTTGCAGCATTCTGAAGTACATATGTATCTGTTATTCAAGGAGAACAAACATCAAGGTTTTAGTTAGTAAATTATTTTTCTTTAGACTATTGAGTGGTGGCAATTAATACTGTCATTCTTTATTTTTAAGTATGAATAGTACCTGGAACCTTATTGTTTGTTGTAATCAGCCAAATCTGTACTGCTTTAAAAAAAATTGGCTTCAGTAAAGAAACTTCATTTGCCAAATATTTTCATGTGTTTTAAGTAAGAGAACACTGGTACTGATCAAAACTAAGCATATAGAGGCCTTTTTATGCCATTCTCCAGGATGTAATTTTTAGTGTAGCATTTCATTTGAGGATCTTGAAGTATTTTACTAAGGTATTTATTACAGATGAGTTTGCAAATGTGAGAAAGTGAGGCATAAGGAGGCTAAGTGACTTGGCTAAGGTTACAAAGTAAGTTGGCTGTAGAATCATCTTAGTCCTCATCTGAGCCAATCTTGTTAATTTCATAGAGGGCTTCTGAGAGTATAGTCTTACTTTAAATATGAATTCATCCTGTTTGTAAGTACTAATCCATTATAACCCCACTGAATTGATATATCTTTAAGTACTAATTTACAATTAATACAATGACATTTCATAGCTTCATAACTGATTTGTAATAATAATGACTTTTGCACATTATCTATTTAAATAGACCTAAAATTGCATAAATTATAGCTATATTAACCTTAAACAGTAAATCCCACTGAGTAAAACTGTATTGCATATTTATGTAGTCAGTCATATTGTATGTAATTTGTTTCTAAAAAGGTAATGTTACATTTCTAGATGAGTGATAAGCTTTTACTTTTTATTTTTACTTTTTATTTTCTGTTTTATAATGAGAACTTTAAAGTGAAAAAATGTTTTTACCTGTATGTGTTTTTTTGTTTTTGTTTAACTTTTGTTCTAGGCACCCATTGTTTCCCTTGTTAGCACTATTATTTGAAAAATGTGAACAATCTACACAGGGCTCAGAAGGCACAACTTCTGCTAGTTTTGATGTAGATATTGAAAATTTTGTAAGAAAGCAAGAGAAGGAAGGAAAACCGTTTTTCTGTGAAGATCCAGAAACTGATAACTTAGTAAGTGAAAAGCTGTTTTTTTTTAAGTAAATAATATTTTTGCCTCTTATTTCTAATTACCAATAATTTCTCATTATCTCAGTTGGTGATTATAGTACATCTTCCTTTTTTCTTTTGTCCCACAAAGGCAAACGGGATTTAGACTATGCAATAATGGGTACTTGCAAAACAGATTTCAGGAATTCAGTTGCTCAGAAGAAGCCTGCCAGAACAGCATTCCATCTTAAATAGAAAGTGCTTACTGTCTATACAGAAAAGTCCAAGAGTACTCTGGACATGCATCCCATACAAAATGTTTAATGATCTTATTTGTATAGGAAGTGTATTACCTTTATTTCTCTCTCTCTCTCTCTCTCTAAGGCATGTGTGCATGTACACATGCATGCACATGCACACCCCCCCCTTAATCATTGAGTCAAGCTTTCTGTATATATAGACTTCGAAGGGCTGGACATTTCTTGTAAATTCAATTTCACAAGGGCTATTTTACCCATCATTGCTGCTTCTTAATAGGGCTATGACTTCAATGGTTCATAAAGACATGTGGACCAAAAAATGTTGATTTCTGGAACAGTTATCCCTTCGATTTCTATCTAAGGGACTTAGAAACTAGGCCATCTATGTAGAGTTTAGGCTCAGTTTTACAAAGCATTATTCTTTGAAGTCAACTTCATATAATGATTTGAGGTTTGACTTACAAAATCTATTGGAATGCTTTTGAGTCAAGATAAATATTCCTTTATAATCTGTTTTACGCTCTGTTGCAGTGTATTTGTGTTCTTCCTACATTGCTGAAAGTTTTGTATATTTATGTAGACTCCAGAAGTAGGACTTTATAATGCATTTTGGCAAAAAGAAAGTCCTACGGTTACTTTTTAAAAGTATGCATGTATTTCATAAATTAAAAGACAAAGGTTAATAGGGATGCAGTGAAAGATTTTGGGGGGCCAATATCAATGGCTGATTATTAACAAGACATATTGACCAATACCAATCAGTTTGCCGATTATGCAGCTTGGAGAGCAGCATCCAGTTGGTAAGTTGGGAGGAGTGGGGGTGCAAATTGAAGTCCCTGTGTTGGGGGAGTGAGTGGGGCTGGGACTGGGGGAGGCACTGCCCAGCTGGAGTGGAATACAGGACAGAGCCATGAGCGGCTCATCCAGGGGGCGCAGGGAGGGAGGTGGGAAGTGGCTACTGATGTTGTGCACACCCTCAGGGGAGGTATGAGGGGGCTGCCCCCCAGATCTGCATGCAGAGCAAGGCTGGGCTGCCATATGTGGGCTGGGGCCAGGGGCAGCTCTGGGCTCTTCCTGGTGTGGGGTTGGGCAGGAGCTGGCCAACCTCCCTGGCCCCAGCCTGCAGAGGGCAGCCTGCTCTCACACTTTGCACAGATGCAAGGGGCACACACACCCCTCCAAGCCTCCCCCAGGGGTGCATGCACCCTCAGGATGAGCTACTTGCGGCTCTGTCCCATGCCCTGGTTGTGCAGCGCCTGCCCCAGACCCACTCCCTCCCTCACTGTGGGGGCCTTGATCTGCGCCCCCCCCATGTTCATTTCCCCCTGCCCCTTCCTCAGCCCCAACAGGCTTACCGACTGGATGGGCTGCACTCCTGGCCACATGCATGCTGTGGCTGCGGGCATGCATGCAGCATTTATTAGTGACATTATCAGCCAAAAAAGGCTGCTTGCTGATAATGTCAATTTTCCTTTGATCGGTGTCGATACAATATGGACCAATATATTGGTGCACCTCTAAAGGTTAATGCTACATGGCAATATGTTGAATTGAGAGAAATAGGCATTAGGGTGACACGGGTTGGTGTTAACGTATCTTATATAGCATGCATATGACACTGATGTCATAGTTGAATTGCATAGGGTTGCATGGACTTTTGCAGTATAGTATAACTTTAGGGTGGGCTTGTAAAATTCCTGAAAATAGACAAAACAATTAATAAGGGGTTTGGAGAAGGGATGGACAGCTGATGTGGTGCCACTGGGCAGGGGGCCTGGAGAACCTTATAAGCCCCTTCCAACTTCAGTGTTCAGCATTATAGCCTCCCCTCCCTTTAGTTAATCACCATATAATTTTTAACATGGCATAATATTTTTGTTTGTACTTAATGTTACGTACTAAGTAAGCATCATGATTGGACACTTAGATCACAAAAATGCACAAAAGTAGTAATATAAACTGTAGCCCTCCAGGTTTGGAGCCCTTGTAACACCTTTCACAAAGGGGCATGCAACTCCAATGACTGGTTCTGCTTAATATAACAGGCTTTTGTCAGTCCTGTGCATATAGCATTATCAGGGTTTGACTGCATATCTTCCTTTTCAGCAAGGCAAAGTACCACTCTAATGCAGCTCTACTGCTTAAAGTACCTGTTTGGATCTAGCTTTGATATTACTGGCTGGTACTGCACCAGTGCCATCCCAGCATATTTCCCTTGCAGCATGTCTTAGCATTGCGTGCAATCCATCCTCAGGTTTCTCTTGTCTCTCCAGCAACTTATTCACAGCTCAGAACACAACATTCCCTCTGTTAAAGCTAATTTAATAAATCCTTGTGTAGGTACAGTGTCTCTTAACTTGTCAGATTTAACCCTTTCCTTCTGAGGCTACTAATTTGCCTTTGTTCCAGGGCCTCGGGTTCCCTTCTACTTACCTTTCAACCAGAGTACCTGGTCAGTGTCATTGAAATCCCTGGCTTTCTAAAACAATGATTCTCAGCTATAGTGCCATGGCTCCCTGTGGTGCCTTGAGACCCTTTCAAGCATGCCACAAGGTGCTACGCAATCCTAGCACAGTTAGGTATGCAAACATAATTTACAAGATAAACTCAGAGATTTCAAACAGGAATCTTTACTGTTAAAGAAATTCTGACCTGTCATGGTTTTCCCGAGCTCTTTGCAATGAAAGAATTGGTGTGTTAGTTTTGTATAGTCAAAAAACAAGTGAAAACTAGGAGCTGGCATTTTCTAAGGGGTACTTTGGATTGATCAGTGGATACCTTGAGTCTGTCAAGGGGTGCCTCAGCCTTAAATGCTTAAGATCCACTGCTCTAGAAAGTCTGTCCTATAGATCTTTCCCTGTCTCTGTAGCTAGACTTATGAATCCTTTTTCTTTGTTGAGGGCTTCTGAAGCCTTCTTTCATGGGCTATGTTAAGTCAGGTTTCCATAGCCTACCCAAATCTAGATTTTGACCCCACGTCAGAGCCTCCCTTTGTCCTTGGTCTTACTCTTTCAGCAAATTCAGGGCAGTTGTGCTAACCTCCTTTCTGGGCCTGTACTCAAATTCGGACAGATTTCCCCAGCCCACTCATTACCTTTCAGGTTCTGGCTTTCATCCCAAGAAACCTCTCCTGCCTCTCTGGTGTACTTTCCAAGCTGTCTTTCTTGTCTCTCCTCCCCAGAGTCACTTAACAGCTGGGTTTTATCATTTCTGGGAGGTAACTAACCCATTAACATTTGACCCCCATTTCCTAACTAACGTGTTGCTCTTTTGAATACTAGGCCCCTTAAACGGGCCATTTCATGGTACAGGGGATTTGCTGGTCTCCTATTATTCTTCAAAGGGGAAAGGCCACCCATTTTATTAATTTATGTTAATTTCAATTCATAAATGATACTAAATGGACAGAAGTTGTAAACAGAGTCAGGCTAGAAAAATGTTTCTAATCTTGCTAGGTCCCTTTGTACTAAAACATGAAGCTGACTTCATGTGTGGGGGAGCACGAAATGCAAGCTAATAATCCATTTGAGGAAAACTAATAAAAAAAAAAGAATTC